GAAATATTCCATGCCCAACCTTTAGACAAACATCATGCCCAAGATAAGATAATATAAATCTCTTCTCCACGTTGAGTCCTAAGAAGACGATTAAAAATTAATTTTAAAATAGAAATCCAAAAAATCAAAGCTTTTTTTAGAGAATGTTTTGAAGGTTTCATCCTATAACAAATTATCTTGGACTATTTTCAATAATAAGGACAAGGAGGGAAATCATATATCTTGGAACGATGAGAAATAAAATTAAAGAAATGGGCAGAACAAAAGAAGATGTATTTTTGTCCAATGACCATTAATTAAATACACAATAAGCATGATTCATCTGGTTTTGTCGTGTACCTTGTTTTATCGTGTACTACATAACAAACTAGTCGTACCTAAATTTGTTATCTAGATGATGAAGCCACTCAAGATGGTTCGAAAACTGATTTTCAACATGAAAATATAAGCTTTTAGAAAAATGCACAGGCTTAAACGTAAGAACTAATAATATTTATATTTTATGAAGAAAAAAAGATCAAAGCGAGAAAACTTTTGTTGACATAGATTCTTGTTCTTGTAGAGCTTGAATCGACCCACCCATCAAAAAGTTAGATGGATGAACGACTGTTAATAGCTCTCAAGTAATACTTTAGAAAAGATAACACCATTGTTTCAATTTATTAAATATCAACTTCAAGTTTTCTATAAATTCACTAAAGAGAAGAGAATAGACACACCATGTACAAATTTACCATATACACAAATATATAGAAAATCAAGAATATAAATGCACAATTTTTTTTCATGTCAACACTGTAACATATACATAGATATATGGATAATCAAAAGTAACAACAATGCATAATCACGATGGAAATAATTAATAGAAAATCAAGGATATAGAGGCACATCATTATGTGATAATCGCAGCACTAAAACGAAAAACATCCTTGGAAATCCACAAGAATTTCTGCCTATAAAGTATCGATATGAAAAATGAAGGAAAGAAAAATCAACTAAAAAATTAAAACTGAAGTCGAAATATGTTTAAAAAACGTGGAATCGTGAACTTTTGTGAATCAAGTAATAGTAATATGAACCGATAACAAATCTCATATTCTTTAATTTTTAGTATAATCTTCTATCCACGTTAAAAAAAATAAACAAAATTTAATTGGTATTTCCTTCCTTAAATATTTTTCAGGATTATACTTTACCATAATTAGTTTATGTTTATAAAAAGATGAACAATTAGTGCATAACAAATTTGTACATTAAGTTTTCAAGCATGTCCCTCTTAAATTTCAAGAAAAGTTCCATATGCTTTATAATATATATATATATATATATATATATATATATATATATATATATATATATATATATATATATATATATATATATATATATACACACATACATACATACATACACACACAGAGAGAGAGAGAGGTAGTTTAATCATGTTTGACAAACGTCCATAGAATATCATTTAAATGAGTTTTTATTTTCTTTTTCGTTTTTTTATTTTTTGTGAAAAAAATTCAAAAAACTAAAAAAATATATATATGCTCGTTTATGACATTTAAAAAAAAATTGTTTTATTTTAAATTTTTTTTTTTTTTTCTTTAACAATTTTTACTACATACTTCAAGATAGTAGGGGTTTTCTTTATTATTATTATTTTTAATATATTTTGTTTTTATTTTTTAAGCTAGTTATCGGTTTAAGTTTTTAATGTTTAACAATTATAAAATTTGAAATAAGAAGAATATTAAGGATCATAATATTTTCTGTGCATACTATTTTTGAATCATATTATTTTTGGATCATAAAGTTTTAAATTTAATTATTTTGAATCATAGTATTTCACTACTAGAATTTGGACTTTCGACAACGGAATCAGCGTTAGATATCGTAATTTTCCGCTTGAACGTATATTAATTGATAAATAATAAAACCTTGCTTTTAGTGATGGATTAGCGACGGTCTAGTGAGGGATTAGCTATGGATTAGCAACGATAACAATTACTCTGTAATTTCTTCTCGAAAATAAACACTAGGTCGGTTGCTATAGTAATTTCTCGCTTGGAATTTTTATTTCTTGCTTGCCATTTTCATTTCCCTCGATGTCTCCCTCCCAAAATAGCTATATTCTTAATCTAATTTCATTTAACACCACTGCCCAACATCGACTTTGGCTTCCCCCAACCCTATCATCACCGATTCAAACCACCTCCCACCCCAATGTGGCTGATTTAAACAAATCCACTCCTAATGTTGCATAACATTGTATTTATGTTGTGATTTTACTTGTGTTTTATAGGGGAGGAAGAAGGAAGGGAATGTTGTAGGATTCATCAGAAGGTCTCACGTCGTTAACTATCTACAACTCAGTCTCTCCTTTTTTATTTTAGGTATTAATTTGATTTGAAATTGGTGAATGCTATAGATATATAGATGTGCATATATTTTTTTAGTTTCATACTGAATCCAAAAGTGGTTGGATGGGAAATGAACATGAATCTTTGGTTTTTGTCTTTGTTTTTTAGGAATGTTGTAACATCCCAAAAATACATGCCAAAAATTTCATTTTTAAATACGTTATTAGAAAACCAACAGTGTAATAAAACATCCATAATATCATGTCATCTCAAAACCAAAGTAGAAATAATCCAAACATGTTGTCATAAAACAATATCAGAGTGTAATCCCAAAGATCTCATCTGTGGAAACCCATAGTGTGATTCGTTGCGATCTAGTCGACTCCTTTCCTTTGAAAATGAATACCTGAAACCAAAACTGTAAACCGTAAGCACGAAGCTTAGTGAGTTCCCCCATCATACCACATACCATACAATCACATAACATACATACTATCGGGCAATTCTGGGGTGCCCGACCTACCCGGTACGACCATTCTGGGGTGTCGACCTACCCGTGTCAAGCCATTCTGGGGTGTTGACCTACCCGTGTCAAGCCATTTTGGGGTGCTAACCTACCCATGTCAAGCCATTCCGGGGTGCTGACATACCCGTCGTTCCTAACAACCGACCCTTAGGGACTATTCCACCCCTACTGCTACTATCGCAAATATCATAACATGAACATACTATCAGACATATCTGGGGTGTCCGAACTACCATTCAGTCCTAACAACCGAACTTGTGGATTATTCCCCTCCTACTGCTACTATCACATATAACATATCATGCCAGCATATAAACATATCATCACATACTATCAGCCATATATGGGGTGTCTGGTCTGCCTTTCGGTCCTAACAACCAAACTCTACTACTATCACATATAACATATCATGCCAACATATAACATATCATGTAGTAGCAAACATAGATGACATCACAAAGACAATCATCTAACATACAACTCCTACTAGTGGGTCGGCATTGTGGCCGTAGACCCACCGCTACTGGAAGGTAACTCACCTCACACTGCTGAAGTCTCGTAGACATAATCCCACACTTGCTGAAGTCCCGCAGACTCAACCCCAACTGTTGGATGATAGATTCCTGAACTGTCAACAACAAAACAACACCTAATTAACAATTGGGTCCTAACACATAACCATAATACATACTTGGATAATTACTTCATTACCCCATGCTTGGCTTATATAAGCCCAAGGCCAAATCCATAGGCCCAAAGCCAACTAAGAATCAAATCCCAACATCTGACCCAATTTTCCAAATTGGGCCAAAGCTTATATGTGGTGTTATTCTAAGGCCCAACATTATACACTCACTAAGGCCCAACAATGGCCCATTTATGGCCCAATTTTCCAAATTGGGCACAACCCCTTACATGGGACTTACCCTAGACCCATTAAATTATTTTAGTCCATATAATTATTCTTGTATGGCCCATTAATAATCCAATCATCAAGGCCGTAGACCCACCGCTACTGGAAGGTAACTCACCTCACACTGCTGAAGTCTCGTAGACATAATCCCACACTTGCTGAAGTCCTGCAGACTCAACCCCAACTGTTGGATGATAGATTCCCGAACTGTCAACAACAAAACAACACCTAATTAACAATTGGGTCCTAACACATAACCATAATACATACTTGGATAATTACTTCATTACCCCATGCTTAGCTTATATAAGCCCAAGGCCCAATCCATAGGCCCAAAGCCAACTAAGAATCAAATCCCAACATCTGGCCCAATTTGAATCAAATCCCAACATCTGACCCAATTTTCCAAATTGGGCCAAAGCTTATATGTGGTATTATTCTAAGGCCCAACATTATACACTCACTAAGGCCCAACAATGGCTCATTTATGGCCCAATTTTCCAAATTGGGCACAACCCCTTACATGGGACTTACCCTAGACCCATTAAATTATTTTAGTCCATATAATTATTCTTGGATGGCCCATTAATAATCCAATCATCAAGGCCCAATAGAAAGGCCCAACATAAAATGTCGATTAGGGTTAAGTTTCCTACTTAACCCATTAAGGAATTATTCCTCTAAGGACTTAATCCATTAAGTCCAATATCACTTAGATTAATCTTGCCAATGTTTATTATTTAATATTTCAAGTTATTAATAATTCCCTTGTGTCCCGACTAATTCCCCAAATTAGGGTTTTATTGAAAACCCTAATTAGGGTTTCATACCCATATACTTGCCCACTAGTCAATTTGTTGGGCTTTTAGGTCAATTAGGGCTTTATTGGACCTATTAAGCCTACACGAATATTATTAAGCCCATGGGATTTTATTGGGTCCATTAGGGTCCATTAAGCTTCATTAGGCCCATTTGAGCTTCTTTGGGCCCATTAGGGTTTCAAGCACCTTAAACGAATCAACACCACGAGGCAAAGCGCACCGCCACCCGACACGACAGTCGGTGGCAGCAACCACCACCCTAAGGTGGTGGTTTAACTTTCTTTCTCATTATTCCATTCCAATTACATTTTACAATGCTAAAACTCGAAATAAACACACAAACTAAACAACATAAACACACACACAGCCACCCTATGGTGGTCGGTGGTAGTATAAGGTGGCAGCCACTACCTCACGATGGTGGTGGTGGTTGTTCTAGGTTCTCCGGCCAACAAGCTACACATATAACACGTACTACAGAAAGAACAAACGCCCACACAGATTTCATGCTTGCAAACGGATCCAACCACCCTCATGGGGCTATTGGCAGCGACAGAAGTACAAAGTGACGACAGCAGCAGCGGCCAAGGGCCACTTCCAGTGACAATAGCAGCCTGAACGACGTCGAACACTAGAGAAGAGTGGAGGTGCGAGATGAGGTTGGTCCAACCAGTGGTTCTGGTCGTCAACGACATTTTCTTCTTCGCTCACAGCCGACACATGGTCTCGGTGGGGCAGTTTCCTAGCCACTCACGTCATTACGATGGCATCAGGCAGAGGAGAGACAGTCCTCGTCGATGCAGTAGCAGGTAGAGCAGCAACGTTGCGACAGTGCTCACAGCGGCAGTTGAAGAAGGAGAAGAAGAATGAGAAAGATGGAGGCTTTTGCGTTCGCTATGGCGTTTGGATGGCGAGGCAGCGGCGGTAGGAGGCTAGACTCGCTAGATCGGAACACGAATGAAAGGCATCAGTTGGAGGTTGATGATGATGGGTTTTGGTCATAAGACATCCTATGTGCGCATACAAACCCTAATGCTTGGATCTAGGTTTCTCTATTGTACATGCTTTGAATCCAAGACTATAAACCCTAATTCTAACATATGGAAATCGACATTAACATATAATTAGGTTTAAGAACATACCTTGATTGTTATATAGCAATAACAATCACAACTCCACCTTGGATTGACTTTGGAATGCTTAGAGTCACAAGTGTCACTCCTCTAATGGCTTACAAACACCATAAGCAAATGGAGAAGGTATAAAGAGAGAGGTGAGAGGTTAGAATTCGTATCTAGGACCTCTTGGGAAGGGATACACGAATTCATGACCCTAGGGGTGTTTATATAGGTGTAGAGATAGGGTTTCATTCATTATCCTTATCTAGTTGATTATCCATTAAGCAACCAATAAGATAATCCTTGAATCCTTATCATACTCGAATTCTAAGGCTTTCCAACCTTAAATTCGTCCACCATATAAATAAGATAATCCTTACCTTATTTTGTAACTATCACATAATTACAAATCAGCCCCTCTAGTTTAATTAATTACATTTGATCACAAAACTAATTCTTAATTAATTATTGACCAATATTAATTAAACAAATATGATTTCTCCTTTAATATATTATTCTTATAACATATTAATAAATCATATTATCCTCTCTCTCTTTATTCATTTCTCCAATCAAGTTGCTTTGGTGAAGGCAACCCAAAAGGACCATGCACCATCGGGTCAAGTGCATACCAAAATAGGTATGGACTTAGACACTAATCCAACAGTCTCCCACTTGGATAAGTCTAACAACTATTTTGCGTATGACTTCAGATCCTAATCTGCAATCGTAGCTTTCCAAAGCCGCTGTCAACTCTAATCATATCAGATACGCGTGTCCTTAGATAAGGGATCATATATTCCTCCATTCTAGATATCGTATGAGATATGATTTCAAATCATTCTCTTTGTACTATATCTCGATTTCCGATTTATGACGACAGACTAATTGAACAAATCAAATTAGCCCTAGCCCGGCCGAGCATTTACGTATGTCATCACTAAACCATCGAGGGGCCCAAAGATATCGCTTTTATCCTACTTTGGATAAAAGGAACGGATAAACTTTGATACAATGCTCGCTTTCACTCACTCACCGAATTACACACAACAATATGTTTTATAACACCAAGTTACTAGTGCGTTTACATATTATCAATGTGCAACCGATTCGCAAGATACAACTCACACATCTCGGTTTCAAGAATATAAGATGTTATCGTCTCACCAATCACTCGTAATACAATTCATGGAGTGATCCAAGTGAGCGTGGGTTTAATCCAATGCTCAAATCATATTCATAAGCACTCATGAACGTTGCAGCAAACATTTGCTTATGTCTAATACTCTTTTAGACAAATCACACACCAATTCACGACAGTCTTCATTCATACCTACTTCCAACATATGAACGACTGTGACCCGTTTGAATAATTCGATTATTCTTAATAAACTCAATTATTCTGGAAGTCAAAACATGCAAGGTGAAACACAAGAATAATACTAATCCCATATGGCCTCAAACCTTTGAGTATAAACAAAACACGTTTTATTTATCACCATATCGATTACTCATTATTTGTCGTTTCGGGTAATCAACTTCTTACTTGAATCATTACACTTGTCCCATGCTCCTAGCATGCACACAATGTTTACCTATGGTTCTTACTTTTGTGAAATAGACAAATTGAACACATTTCCAATCATTCTCATTTCACAACTCCAAATCCATTTTCTTAAGTGTAAGAATATCAAATTCGTGTTACTTATAGAATATACTAGATTCTAAGACTTTATGAAACGATCCTTTTGTAATGTCACTGCACCAAAGTCTCAAAGACTATTGCCAATGATATTACAAATTCCTCTAACGGAGATTGTTACAAGACAATTCCTTAGATATGATGTCTCTCTCTAAAAGTACATTCCTTTGAACATCCTTTTGCATAAAAGTTTCTAATCTAGATTTTCAATATTTACTTCCCAATATAGATACATTTCCATACTTTCCATATGACAACTCATTTCTTAATAGAATCTTTTCTATTCATCATAATGTCAATATGGTCCATTAATACCATGCTTCCAACTACTCACAAGCAACCAATCCTCGTCGAACTTTGGATTGTTCTTTGACAGTTGTTTAATTATTTTAGTCAAAACCAATTCTAGTCCCTTTTCCCTCTAAATGTGCTAGACATTTGGAAAATTTTAGAATGGTCAAACATTAAAGCATTTGCAATCGATCCTATACCCGAAGCGTATGGGACATGATGCACAATGTTTTATTTGCTATGTTCTCAAAATTCGAATTGTGAAGAGGAATGCCGTAATCATAATCGAAATTTTAAGAACACACTATGTACCCTTGACTAAATTTATTAACATTCCACAACCTAATCCTTTAGATTTGAAATGAAGCATAATATTCTCTCCCTTAATTATAGCAAAACAACCTTTCAACTCTTACAACTTTGCAAAGTATGACTCTTGTTTTCTATAATTAATATTGCCAACTATGCAATACTTGCCTTAATAATCATAAAATCATAACATTTATGATCCCACTATCATGATGATTATTATAAAACATAACACTTATGCTCCCACTAGCTTCGACATGTATTCATAAACATCTTAACTTTCAGAAAAACAATACTTATTGAATTTCTTAAGTTCATGTTTCTAATACTTAGTGCTTTGATAATCTTTTATCAAGACTTCTTGAACTTATACACTTTTGCTGTAGATAGTTCATATGTGTGTCTTAACAATTAAGACTAATTGCCAAACCTCATAATTCAAATTATGGAAAGGGATGTCGTAACCATGATCGAATTCGAGAATGCAATTTTACAATCACTATCTTTAAAATCTTTCTTAGTGAAAGCATTTTCTCACAATCATTTTCATGAAGGAGGAAATCTTATGACACTTAGATTTAAACGGTGTATGTGTTCCTATCCATGTGAATTTGTTAAAAACCAAAGTTTACGACAAATTCAAACTCATATGGATCGAACTTTCTTAATCTTGATTTCTTGCCTTATGGTAGCATAGCTGCCCACCATGTCTTCCAAGTAGTTAAGTAGCTCACCTTTTCCTATCAATGTACTTTCCATTGATCAAGGTCCTTGCCTTTTATGCATTCAAATGAGAACTCATAGGACTCACATGCATAATTAACTCGATTGGATTGGCACAGAAACAAAATAATGTCTTCACGATAGGTTGTAAACCTCAACTCGTGTGCTAGTGATGATCGATAAGGTTTATTTGATTTGTTCTTGAAACTTTTCAAGACTATTAAGACTCCCACTGACTCCTTGACATATACGATTCTCTTATCAAAACATTTCTTGACAAACAAATATTCAAGAGTTAGTGTAGCTTATATCAAAACAAAACACTTCATAATTTTGGTCTTAGTTGGTCTTTGTCTTATCCAAGACATCACAACTTTCCACAATTGATGAATGTTATAAACCTTCTTAATACTATTCACTCAATGTCACAATCTTGACTTTAAGATTTGTTTTCGAACGAAGTATGATTGTCTTCTTGATTTGACCATTTCATCAATCTTTGATTCCTCTTCTTGGACATACAATTGTACCAAGACTCACTTAGAGGATCAATTGAGATATGGTTCTTAATCATTAAGACCTATCATAAAGCATAAAAGGTACTCTCCCTTCTTCTTAGAATGGAGAAACTTTTATATCTCTGCCTACATGATTCTTGTTATTCGTTCTACTATTGATCTAAACCCTTTAATCAATTCAGAATTACACTTAATCTTATAAGTATAATCATATTTACCAAACCTTTAGTAAATAATGACGAATATATTTGTTACTCTTATGGTGAACTTGATCAACACACAACTTTGTGTACTTGATCTCCTAGTCCTTCACTTGACACTTTGTCAATGAATTAGTCTAATTTCCAAATACGTAATTTCTCATTCATCGTGCATCCACGTTGCATGATTCCAAGTTTCTATCCAATTGAAACTTGGGCGATGAGAAACTCTCCCTATTTGGTAAATTCTTGACATTTCCATAAATAACATAACTAAGAATCACATCCATTCGTTGTAGAAATATTCAAACATCAATTTTCATATAACGATTTCATTGCAAGGGAGTAAACAAATAAATAAATAAGTCAAACAAAATTTATTTTATTTATAAAAGCAGCGGAAAAACATTTGTCCTTACAATGCAAAATCTATTGAAAACTATGTAAAAGAAAATTTCTAACAACTCTATCATAACTATCTAAGCTCAAAATCCAATCTTCAAGTCCATGCGATCAAGATCCATCTCTTGTGATTAGATTCATCTTGCTCTCTTATCAAGCTTCCTTTCTTTTCACCGATCCTTCAAAACATTCAAATGCAATCTTATCACATCATGTATTAAGAATCAATGAATAGGAACTTAATGGAGTTAGATAGTGGATTCTTACCTAAAGCGTAGTCATACTTTTGACTCTCCCATCTCTTAGATCTCTTAGGTAAATAGGGCAACTTCGTCTCCAATGCCCCTTCTCTTGGCAATAAAAGCAAATTGATTCTTTTGGAACAACACATGGAACTACTTCAGACATCGCCTTTCACTTATGATCAAACTTTTCGATCATTGCATGTCTTTCATTGCCATTGTCTATATCCATAGAGGTCTTGAAGGCAGATTCACCAATCAACTTTGCTTTTCTATTGCGCCAAACCATTGCTGATTCAGCAGCAATAAGCATATAGGTGAGATCTATAAGTGTCACGTCGTGGTTCATCATATAGTACTCTCTTACGAACTCACTATACGAGTTAGGAAGTGACTGAAGAACCCAATCAACAACCATCTCTT